TACAAAGGCAAGAAGTGACTGGCTTATAAGCTTTCAAGAGGGAACCTAGTGCTAGGGAGCATGGAGGAAGGCAGAATCTCCAGTGGGTACAATTCAATCTGTCTGGGCGGAGCTGATGAAAAGAAATACAGATGGGTAACTCATGATACTGTAGTGAATAATGCTTATCAGGACAGATTTTGAGGGTTGGAAATGCAAAGGTAGACATTTTGGAACAAGGAAGGGAGTGATTAATTCTCCAGGCTAGGAGCAGAGGTCTCTGGGACCATCAAGGGAGAAGAGCCAAGAGTGGGACCCTACCCAGAGAAACAGAGATGCCTGAGATAGAGACAGAGACGATGACAAGGAGTGGGAGTGATGAAGCGGCTGGGGACTTTGGATTCAGAGAGGGAAAGGGACTGTGGGCCGAAAACTGTTTGGGGGGGCGGGGGGGGGAAGCATAGGGGGCGGGTTTCTAGGATATACCCTTTGGAGGGGATTGGAACCATGGCAATGAGATGATATACGATGGAATGAATGTAAAACTAAAGTTCTCTCATGTAAACTATCATATAATTCACAATAAAACATTTAAAAAGTCGTGGGTGATTGTGAGATAGAAAGTAGTTTGATTCCACTAAAATAAAAGTGGTTAATGTTAGGAAAATAAAGTCACAAAATCTTTCCCCTAAATGGATTTCCCCCAATTTTGGAAATTAAAGAGAAAGGAAGGGGAAAAAAATAAAGAGAAAAGAAGAAAACTAAAAAGAAAGGAAAGAAGGGGAGGGAAGAAGAGAACTTTTAAGTATCCTGGATTTGCTATGGCAATTTAACAAAAATTTCTTTGGCTCCCAGAATTAATATACTTTCCCAAATTTTGAGAAAAAAAGTCTTCAGCAAACAAGATAACCACTTAGAAGAGAACTTTGGATTCAATAACTAATGTAGCAAAAAAGAAGGCAGGTTGACATATTTGAAAGATCCTGTAGTTGTATATTCTGTACTATATGAGAAACAGGACAAATGAAAAGCACATAAATTCTAGGGTGGCATATCCCTGAGTAAGTAACCTCTCCTATATTTCAGTAGCTTCCAACTTTGGTGCTTTTCTCTGGGTCCTGGCTGGAGCTACGGCGGAGAGAAAAGAGAGAACGGTGTGGTTGTGCTGAAAGCAAGTTCAGATGCATGTTATATTCAATACTTTCATAACTTAATTTGTATTTTATATGACATCTTTGAAGGGTAATGAACTAAGTCTCTTTCAATTTTCTTTAAAGGTGCAGACACAAGCAAGACTGTCCATGAATTTATTAATGATCAGAGAGACGGGTTTCTGCTTGAGGTAGTAAATATCATTTTCTTTCCCTCATTGGCCAACTGGAAGACGTCTTAAGCAGCATTGCCAAATGTTTACCTTAAGAACATTTCATGTTTTCCATTGCATGCCTTGGATCTATCAGCCAAATGGATTGGTTCATTGATGTGTGTGTGTGTGTTCATTCATTCAACAAATGGTTGTTGAACATATTGAGTGCTTACTATGTACCATGCAGTGAACAAAACAAAGGTTCTGCCCTCAGAGAATGCTTCCATTCTAGAATCCCAGACAAGATTCCACATTTTCTGTAACATAGTTAGGAAAGTGTTCTAGTGTCGTGGTTCTCAGAATCACCAGGAGGGACTGTGAAAACACAAATTGCTGGCACCCACATCTGAGTTTGTGATTCAGCAGGCCTGTGGTGGACTTGAAAATGTGCATTTTTAGCAAGGAGCCCTGGTAGCAAAGTGGGTTAAGTATTTCACTGCTGATGGAAGGTCAGTAACTAGAAGCCACCAGCCTCTGGGAGAGAAAGACAAGGCAGTCAGCTTTCATAAAGATTTACAGCTTCACAAACCCTGTAAGATAGTTCTACTCTGCCTTCAGTTATGAGTTGCACCTCGATGTAAAGAAAACAAAAATTCTCACCACGAGACCAATAAATAACATCAAAATAAAGGGAGAAGAGTTTCAAGTTTTTTAAAGACTTCGTTTTGCTTGGCTCAACTATCATTCATGGAAGCAGCAGTCAAGAAACCAAATGACATATTGCATTAGGTATATCTGCTGCACAAGATCTCTTTAAAGTGGTCAAGAGCAAAGATGTCAGTCTGAGGACTAAGTTGTGCCTGACCCAAGTCATAGTATTTTCAGCAGCCTCATATGCATGTGAAAGTTGGACAATGAAGAAGGAAGACCATAGAAGAATTAATGCTTTTGAGTTATGGTGTTGGAGGAAAATATTAAAAGTACCATTGACTGTCAAAAAACAAGATGTACAATCAAATGCTCCCTAGAAGCCAAGATAGCCAGACTTCACCTCTCATACTTCTGACAGGACCAGTCCCTGGAGAAGGACATAATGCTTGGTAACATGGAGGGTCAGTAAAAAAGAGGAAGAATCCCAATGAGATGGATTGGCACAGTGACAGCAGCATGGGGTCAAATGTAGCAACGACTGTGAGGTTGATGGAGGACTATTGTGCATAAGGTTGCTATGAGTCAGTACCAACTCAACAGCACCTAACAACAACAACAGCAATCAACACTCATAGAAGTAGTAGTGAAGAAATCTAACAATATATTTGTTGCTGTTGTTTAGAGCCATTGAGTCTGTTCTGACACATAGCAACCCTGTATAAGGTTTCTGAGGAGTGGCTGGTGAATTTGAACTGCTGACCTTGCAGTTCAAACCAACTTTGTAGTCCAACACATTAACCCACAGTGCCGCACCAGGACTCCAAATAACAGATAGCATTAGGCAAATCTGCTGCAAAAGACCTCTTTAAAGTGTAAAAGAGCAAAGATACCAGTTTGAGGACTAAGGTGTGCCTGACTCAATCCATGGTCTTTTCAATTGCTTCATATGAATACAAAACTTGAATAATGAATAAGGAAGACTGTAGAAGAATTGATGCATTTGAGTTAAGGTTTTGGAGAAAAATATTAACAGTATCATGGACTGCCAGAAGAATCAACAAATCTCTGTTGAAAGAAGTACAGTTAGGATGCTTCTTAGAAACCAGGATGGTGAAACTTCATCTCATACTTCAGGCATGTTCTCTCATATTTCGGGCACGTTAGCAGGAGGGATCGTTCCTGGAGAAGGACATCATGGTTGGTAAAGTGGAAGGTCAGCATAAAAGATGAAGCTGCCCAACAAGATGGATTGGCACAATGGCAGTAGCAATGGGCTCAAGTGTAACAATTGGGAGGATGGAGTAGGACTACGCAGTGTTTGGTATCGTTATGTGTTGGAGCTGACTTGACAGCACATAACAACAACACCTGTGCTCTACTGGGCCACTGTGAGTGGGAGTTGACTTGACTTCAGTGGGTTTGGTTTGTTTTTAACAAGTTTGCAGGTGACTCTGATACAGTTGGTCTGGGAATCCCACTCTGAGAACCATTACTTAGAGGGTAGCTGGCCCCATCATCTTCCTTTTTCTCGGTTCTCTCCCCACAAACAAGATTGCACTTAAAAAGGCCAGTTTAATCCAGATTCCCCTGTATCTTCTATTGAATATGGTGGGAGCAGAGTCCGAAAAACTGAACAGATCTTTTCAAGCCTTGAAAGAACTTGGAATCCTTCCAACTTCTCTTATGCCATCAGTACCACAAAGAAGTGCCAGTCCCAGATAGAGTCTTATAAAAATAATAGTGGCTTTATCCTGGTGGTAAATATCTTTAACCAGAATCCAGGGCTCATTACTAAAACAGGATTATTGAATATTTCATACGCATATCCATTTACTATAGAGAAAGTACTTAATGATGGAATAACAATTATACAACAAATTGTCAAGCACCTAATCATCCAAAGAAGATCATTGATCTTGATTTAAACTTTTGATAGTAATGATTACATTAAAATGCATTTGACTGTTCGTAATTTCACATCACACCTTTTGGAGCACAAATCTACACTAGTTGACACTTCCATTAGCTGCCAGCTGAAATGAGCATAGAAGATTTCACTTCAAGTAAGAGGGATACAATGAGTCCTGGTGAAAGTGTGGGTTTGGTGTTGGGCTGCGAACCACAAGATCCCCCTCAAGTACTTCGGCTGAGTTCTGATTAGTGAATGCATGTGAGGAAACTGAGGCCAGGGAGGAGCAAACTGACAATTCCTGGAAATAGTTTGTGTTCCTCGTAGTCAGAGTGGAAAATGCTGTCTACGTTGACATCCGGAAGGGAATTCCTCAGCTGTTGTTAAGTGCTGCTGAGTCAGTTCTGACCCATAGCAACATTATACGGAGTTTCCAAAGCTCTAAGACTTTACGAGAATAGAAAGGCTCATCTAGTGCCTCAGTAGTGAAGATAATTGGCTCTAGACTCAAATTTGCATTGATCCTACATAAGCAAACTATAAAAAAAGACAAAGCTCTTCCTAAGCAACTGTGTCCAAGAATAACACTCAAAAACATGTAGAAGGATGCAAAAAATATCAGCTATCCAACAATGTAAATTTCATAAGGTCTAAGAACCTGGGTTATATGAAGAAAAATGTGGCATCAGGATTGGAGGTAGACTCAGTAATGACCTGCGATATGCATGCAGATAATACAACCTTGCTTGCTGAAAGTAAAGAAGACTTAAAATATTTACTGATGAAGATCAAACAAAAATCCTCACCACTGGACCAATAAACAACATTCTTGTCAATGGAGAAAAGATTGAAGTTGTCAAGGACTTCATTCTTCTAGGATCAACTATCAACACTCATGGAAGCAGCAGTCAAGAAATCAGACAATGCATTGCATTAGGCAAATCTGCTGCTCAAGGTCTTTTTAAAGTGCTGAAGAGCAAAGATGTCAGCTTGAGGACTAAGGCGCACCTGACCCAAGCCATGGTAGTTTCAATAACCTCATATGCATGAGAAAACCGGATGAAGAACAAGGAAGACCATAGAATTGATGCTTTTGAGTTCTGGTGTTGGAGGAGAATATCGAAAGTGCCATGGGCTGCCAAAAGAACAAACCGATCAGTGTTGGAAGAAGTGCAGCCAGAATGCTCCTTGGAGGCCAGGATGGCCAAACTTTGTCTCTCATACTTCAGACATTTTGTCAGGAGGAACCAGTTGCTGGAGAAGGATATCATGTTTGGTAAGGTGGAGGGTCAGAGAAAAAGAGGCAGACCCCCAGCGAGATGGATTGACCAAGTGGCAGTATCAATGGGTTCAAGCGTGGCAATGATACTGAGGTTGGCCCAGGATGGAGCAATGTTTCATTCTGCTGTGCATAAGGTCACTATGAGTCGGTACCGACTCGATGACACCTAACAACAACAACAGAGATCCAAGTGGAGTCCGGGTGTGGTGCGGTGGGTAAATGCGCTGGGACTGTAAAGTCGGTGTGAACCGCCAGGTTGGTGGCTTAAGCTCGCCAACCGCTCCTCGGAAACACTATAGGGATGTTATAGGTTGGAATCGACTCAACAGCACCTAACAAGACAAATAAAAATCACCATTCATGTAAAGAAGAAATTACAACTCATAATTAGCTAAGAAAAAAACTCAATAGAAATAGAACCAGAAGTGACACAGGAGATAGAATTAGAAAACAGGGATTTAAAATAGGTATTATGTATACACTCCTAGACTGCTTTAGCATCCTGGTGTGGTGCTGTAGGATATGCGAAGGACTGCAAGTGGTTTGTTCTGTGTTCTAGACTAGAAGCTCCATGTAAAGCTGTTTTGGGGGATCTGAAAAGACCTATTTGAGGCTGATTAAACACCCATGCCCTTGGGCTGTTTGGGAGGAATGAATCTGGTGTAGCAGCCTTGGAACCTGCTTTCTTATTAGAGGGGAAGTTGGTGGCCTTTGTAACTACTGACAGCCTAGTTTCCCAATGTTCAGAAATCACTGGGATGAGATTGTGGGTAATAATAATATGGAACTGCTTTTACGTAAGATATGAGCTATTTTTTATTTGTGGGGCAGTGCAACATTTTGGAACAACATTGAACCCCTTCATATAGGGGAGAAAGAGCAATGAGTCTCCCTTATAACTAGTCCTCAAGTAAAATTCCTGCATGATCACAGTCTCAAGATTTGGGTATACTCTTTTCTAACGTAAATAATGATTACCACAGGTCATTTTGCTCTTTTTTTCATGAGAGTGTTGAAATGTACTAGGAAAACGGAATAATGTTCTCGATGTACTTCTGTTTTCGATATTCCTAGTTTACTATGTCAACCAAAAGAAAAACTATTAGAAAGTTTGAAGACAGAATAGCATCGAAGGAAAGGCAACTCATGAAAGCAGAAAAAAAGCTCCAAGATGATGCAATAGCTTTTGAAGAGTTCCTTCGAGAAAATGACCAGAAATCTGTAGATGCTATTAAAATGTTAGTTTCTTCACTCTGGCCAAATCTTTTTTATTGTCTCCTTTTGCTTTTTATTTTCTCTGAACAGAAAACAAAACATGTAACAAATCTCTGTTACTTTTCAGTGCAGCACAAGAAACTATAAACAAACTCCAAACAGCAGCAGAATTAAAGAAAGCAAGTATGGAAGTACAGGCAGTGAAAAGGTGAAGGCCCAGGGAGGTTTCTTCTTTGTTCCTACATTTCCATGCCCCAGTACAGCCTATTTGTATCTAGTAATACCTCTATGGGAATAGTCCTTATTAGTTGATGATTTCAGAAGTATGGCCAAATTTTTTAAAGCAGTAGATTGTCAGACACCACCAAAGACTGCCCCTGTCTGGGCACCAGGAAAGCTCAGCGACCTCTGGCTGGTTGCGGGGCCCATATTTAATGGTTTAAGAAATTTTTCCCTAACTTGTAGATCTGAAAGTAGAGGTTGTGGTGGTGGCGTGCCTTCGAGTCAGTTCCAACTCACAGCAAGCCTGTACAGTGTTTCCGAAGCTGTAAACTTCACAAGAGCAGAAACGCTCATCTTTCTCCTGCAGAATGACTGGTGGTATTGAATTGCTGATCTTTTGGTTTGCAGCCCAACATGTAATCTACTACATAACCAGAGCTCCTTCAAACCAAAGGAATTAGTTAAAAAGAAGTAAATCAATGTTGTTGTTGTTCAGTGCCACCGAGTTGGTTCCAACTCATAGCGACCCTGTATAGTGTTTCCGAGGAGCGGCTGGTGAGCTTGAACCACCAACCTTGTGGTCAAACTGACCTTGCAGCCCAGCATCCAAAGCGGTTTTGAAGTCCTGGTGTGGCACTGTAGGATAAGCACTGGAGTGCTAGTCACAAGGTCAAAGGTTCAATCCTACCAGCCGCTCATTGGAAACCCTATCCAGGGTCGCTATGAGATGAAACCAACTCAACGGCACTTAAAAACAACAACAACAAGGGGTTTCTAGCTGTCATCATCCTTGGACCGTAATATGTGCTCCATGAGACACTCTCATTTCAGTACCAGTCACAATATAACACACTTTTTCTCTTTGAGCTTGGTATTTACCTGTTCATGACCTACATTATGTGTCTTACATAATCTACACTTTTTGTGGAGGAGAGCAAAAGTCTGTCTAAAAGTAGCAAATGAAATGGATTGTACTGTCTTTGAAACCAAATGCTTCTAATGAAATGTGTATTTTAAACATATTTTGACTCCAGCAGCCACTTCCGATTTAGGAACCTAAAGTTGAAGATGGCCTAAGGTGGACAAGTCCCTTTGCTCCCTCCTCCCTAATATAACTGTTATTGTTGTATTGTTAAGTACCGCAGAGTTGATTTTGACACATAACAACTCTGTGTAGGGTTTACAAGACTTTGTAGTTCAAACCAACCTTGCAGTCCAGTGCATTTTCCTGCAGTGCCAAAGATTTTTAGAAAGCTTGACAGGTCGAACCCACCCACCTTCTCTGTGGGAAAAAGATCTGATGATCTGCTTCTGCAAATATTACAGTCAAGAAAACCCTGTGGGACAGCTCTTCTCTCTCAGGTGGTGTCATTATGAGCTGGGGTACAGTCAATGGCACCACCATCCATTTATTTCTCAAAATGAGAAGGAAAATAAGCAAATATCCACTAGTAAGTGGAATCCCCACCATTCATTGTCAGTTTGTTGCATTGTGGTGGCTTGTGTGCTGCTGTGATGTTGACAACTGAGCCACTGATATTTTAAATACCAGCAGGGTCAACTATAGTGAACGGGTTTCAGCAGAGCTTCCAGAATCAGACAGACTAGCAAGAAGGAGAGGTGGGCCACTTCTGAATGGTTAGACACTGAAATCAATGGCAATGGAACATTGTCTGATATGTTGTTGTTGTTATGTGCCATGGAGTCGGTTCCAACTCATAGTGACCCTGTACAGGGTTTCTGAGGCTGTAAATCTTTACAGGAGCAGAAAGCCTCACCTTTCTCCCACGGAACAGCTGGTAGTTTCAAACTGCTGACCTTGCGGTTCGCAGCCTGATTCATAACCACTACACTACCAAAGCTCCTTGTCGATAGAGAGTGGGAAAATTAGCCCCTCGGGTGGAAGGCACTCAAAATATGACTGGGCAAGAGCTTCCTCCTTAATATAGAGTTGACCTGAATGACATGGGGTGAGTAAATCTTTTGGGACCTTCATTTGTTTGTTGTTGTTGTTAAGTGCTGTTAAGTCAGTTCCAACTCATAGAGACCCTGTATAGGCTTTCCGAGACTTTAAATCTTTGTGGGAGCAAAAAGTATCATCTTTCTCCAGGGGAGCGGCTGGTGGGCTTGAACCATGAATCCTGTGGTTTGCAGTCCAGGGCTTATCATATGGAGACATTCAAATGAGAAGAAACCGCTGCAAGCATCCATTGAATGTAAAATGTATGAAGTATGAAGCTAGAAAAATTGGAAGTTGTCAAAAATGAACTGGAACTCATAAAGATTGAGACTAGTATTGGCCATTTTGAATCAATCATATTGTTGACTATGCTGGGAACAACAAATTGACGAAGAATGGCAGCATTTTCATCATCAAAAAGAGCATTTCATGATGTATCTTGATGTAAAATACTGTCTGTGATAGGATAATAGCCATATATGTATAAGGAACCGCAAGGTCAGCAGTTCAAAACTACCAGCTGTTCCGCAGAAGAAAGATGAGGTGTTCTGCTCCCGTAAAGATTTACAGCCTTGGAAACCCTGTACAGGGTAGCTATGAGTCAGAACTGACCCCATGGCACATAACAACAACAATAAATGTATAAGGAAGACCAGTTAATACCACTATTACTCAAATTTACACACCAACCACTACAACCAGGGAAACTGAAAAATTCTATGAACTTTTTCAGTCTGAAATTGATCAAACATGCAATCAAGATACATTGATAATCACTGGTGACTGGAATGAAAAAGTTGGAAACAAAGAGGAAGATGTGGATTTGGTGATAGAAATTGATCTGGAGATCACATGGTAGAATTTGGCAAGACCAGTAACTTATTCATTGCAAATACCTTTTTACAGCAACATAAATGGCAGTTATACCAGAGGGGATATACAGTAATTAAATTAACTACAACTGTGGGAAAATATGATGGAGACCTTCAATATCCTCAGCCAAAACAAGGCCAGGAACTGACTTTGGAACAGAACACCAATCGCTCATTTGCAAGTTCAGGCTGAAGCTGAAGAAAATTAAAACAAGTCAATAAGAGCCAAAATATAAGCTTGAGTATATCTCATCATCTAAAAAATAGATTTGATGCATTAGACACTAATGATTAAAAACCCAAAGAGTAATGGGATGACAACAAAAATATCAATAAAAAAAGCAAAAGTTCATTTTAAAAGACAGGAAAGAAAGAAAAGACGAAAATGGATGTCAGAAAAGACCCTGAAATTAGTTATTGAATGTACAGAAGATAAAATGACTAGAGAAAATAATGAAGTAAAAGCGCTGAACAGAAAATTTCAAAAGGCAGTTCGAAAAGACAAAGTTATGTATTATAATGAAATGTGCAAAGACCTGGAATTAGAAAAGCAAAAGGGAAGAACACACTCAGCATTTCTGCAGATGAAAGTTGAAAAAAATTCAAACCTTGATTGGCAATGTTGAAGCACTCCTGGCACTGCAGGATAAGCACTGGACTGCTAACAGCTAAGTCAGCAGTCCAATCCACCAGCCACTCCTCAGAAACTCTAAACAGGGTCTCTATGAGTCAGAGCTGACTCAATGGCATTTAACAACATTAGCAAAATATTGAATGATGCAGGAAGATTCAAAAGCTGAAAGGAATACACAGAGTCACTGTTACAAAAACAACTGGTTACTGTTCAACCATTTCAAGAGGTAGCATATGATCAACAACTAATGGTATTGAAGGAAGAAGTTCAAGCTGCACTGAAGGCATTGGCAAAAAACAATACAGGAATTGATGGAATACAAATTGAAATGTTTCCAAAAATTGGCACAGTGCTGGAAGCACTCACCTGTCTATGCCAAGAAACTTGGAAGACTGGCCAACTTATTGAAAGAGATCTATGTTTGTGCCCATGCCAAAGAAAGAGGATCCAATGGAATGTGGAAGTCATCCAACAATATCTTTAATATTATATGTAAGTAAAATTTTGCTGAAGATAATTTAAAAGCAGTTACTGCAGTACTGCAACAGAGAGCTGCCAAAAATTCAAGCGTTGTTCAAAAAAGGATGTGGAACAAGGGATATAATTACTGACATCAAATGAATCTTGGCTGAAAGCAAAGAATACCAGAAAGATGTTTACTCATGATTTATTGACTATGCAAAAGCATTTGACTGTGTGGATCAAACTAACAATGGATAACATAGGTATTCCAAAACACTTAATTGTATTCATGAGAAACCTGTACATAGACTAAGAGGTAGCCATTTGAACAGAACAAGGGGATACTGAATGGCTGTTGTATATAGGACTTCTGTGAGTCAAACCAACTGGAGGAGACCTAACAACAATGATGACTTTTCCTTGGGAATACTTTTTTTGAACAGCATGATCAACAGTTACAGGAATCAAATTGACTACATCTGTAGAAAGAGATGATGGACAAGCTTATTATCATCAGTTAAGAAAAAAATCAGGCCATGAATTTCAAAGCAGATTATCAACTGCTCACGTGCAAATTAAAGCCAAGGAAAATCCAAATAAGTTTCCAAGGATGAAAGTACAACCTTGAATACACTTGACGTGAATTTAGAGACCATTTCAACAATAGATTTTAACACACTGAATACTAATTACTTGAAATCAGAATAATAGAGAACAAACAAGATGGTGGATCAGGTAGAAGTGCATTGAGGAGCTCCGTAAGTAGCAACACAGAATACCAGACCAAGCAGTTTCAGGGGATGGTGTCAGAACTCTGAACCACATATAAACCAATATTTAGAAGATTGGAAGGCTTACAGCTAGCGGAATTTGTAGCAGAAGCAAGAAATCTGTTGCTTTCTAATTCAAGATGCTCAGCTGCTCCCGGAGCTGTCATCTTGGGCGAGACCAAACGAGGGAAGAATCAGAGCAGCCACTGACCCCTGACAGTACTGCAGAGATAAAGGTGTGGACATTTTTAAAAAATCTGTTTATTGGTCTCTCGCTGGCTGCACACC